ATAAAATTCTATTCTTCACTAAATTGTATGAATAATGAATATATTTTACTAAAATAAAAGTTTCATGTAAGTATATATTTTGATTTTCTTTTAATCATATATTTATATTACATGATAAAGTAAATATTAATTAAACAAATTACTTTTAACTCAACTTTCAAACTTAAAATTCGACTCTTAACCAACCACTCTATTTTGAGTTTCATAATGATTATACTCTCCTCTTTTAAGAATCCATCTATCTATTTATCATTTTGGTGTCCGAAATCAATATATATATTTTAATTTTACTTCCTATGCAACTAAAAAAAAAAACTTATTATAACTTACATATTATAATAAAAATATCATCATCATCATTTAATTAATTTATCTTTTATCATAGGTAAAATTACCTATTCATACATATTTTATACCACAAATATATAATAATAATAATATTAAATAATTTACGTAAAAAATAATAAAAATAGAACGGATACATACTGTGATACTCTCATAGTCAAGTCAATGTTAAACTAACTTTCCTGTACATATGAGTCAACACTAAGCCATCCGATAGTAAATAGATATTAAATTGATTAAATATGTTACATATGTCAACAATGTACATATAAAGAAGGTGCACGTGAGTAGACAAAACAATGCTTGAAAGACTCGTTGTTGACTTGTGAGACCAGTCTAATCCCTTTTTATTTTCGATAATTGTCATAATACAATATTTCAAAAGTCTATTCTCTACATAACTCTTACCCACATACATTCCTAATTTATGCAAAACAAAATTATCTCAATTCATATTAATTTTAAAACCATGTTTCATGAGGAGCGTCCCCGAGACCAAGTTCTTCGTCATCGTCGGCACGTACAAAATGTTAGTCAGCGTCACAATTCTTCCTGATGTCATCTCCAGAAGCACATTTTCTCTCCCCTTGACTTCAGTAGGAGCAACATTCTCCATGTACATCATTTTTCCTTCGACAAGATCGAACGAGGAGAACTAATCCTGTCTATGCAGATGTGGCATATTGCTCCCGTGTCGAGCCACCACCGTTTCTTGTTCGATCCTATTAAGTTTGCCTAAGAGACAAAACTTATCAGGTCGAGTGGCTCTTCCTCTTTAGTGACGACGTGTGCCTAATTCACCTCTTTATTTCTTTTCGGCGCTTTGCAGTCTATCGAACGATGTCTGAGAAAATTGCCCTTGAAGGTACTCTTTGCTTTATCAACGCACCAGATGGCTCCAACTTCTCCTTGCCCTTGTCCCCGGGCTTCCAGTTCTTTCCAAGCTGTTAATTGTTTCTCGGAGCAGTCTTAAACCGAGAGCTTTGGCTTTTGTGTTCGACTACATTGGCCTTTCTGCTGAGCATCAGTGTTCCTTACTTGCCAGGTTCAATCTATGCTCATATTCAGTTTAAAGACGATTGATCAGTTTTGTCATGTCCATTTCCTTCCCTCCGTTTGTATTTCAAGTAAATCTTGAAATCGGGGCTAGGCGAAAAATTTTCAATTATCATCTCAAATTGGAAGGCTTCACTCATCTTTATCCTTTCGGCAAGGATTTTAAGCAGATTCAACTGAAACATATTAAGCTACTTCGTAACGCTTTCTCCGTCCACCATCTTGAAACCCAAAAACTGTCCCACAATAATTTTCTTGGTACCAACATCATTGGTTATGTACTTCTTCTCCAACACCTTACAAAGTTGTTTAGCCGTTAGCGCATGCTGGTAGACACCGTAAAGGGAGTCGCTCGAGGTATTCAGTATATAATTTTTGCACATAAAATCTAAACGTTTCCAAACTTTAAGAATTTGTGCTTTTTGTTCTTCCGAAGATTCTTCAGACACAATAAGTGCAGCCTCCGTCAACCAATCTTCCAGATTCAACGTGGTAAGATAAAACAACATCTTTTGCTACCATATTTTAAAATTTTTCTCGTTGAAGTTTTTTGACTTCTAGGTTGCTGCAACAACAGACTGCCTGAAAGTTGCAGCAACACACTGCATTACATGGTCCGCAACAACAATATGTTGTATACCCTCCAAATCGTCTAGTTGTTGTCCGGAAGACGCAACAAAACCTTGCACAAGTCCTGTAGTCATACGTTGTAGACGGAGCAGAGCAACAACAGGTTGTTTTACATGGGTATCAACAGGATCCCGTTTTTTTTCACTCCAGCAACAAGCTGGTTGGAGGTCACAGCAACAGGCTGCGCCTCCTCCATCGCAACCTTGAAGGCTTGTTCCTACGCTACCATCATAGCTTTCTCTGCAGCTGACAATAACGATTTCAGCAGCCTCACCAGTTGTGTCGGGGTGGCTGAGATCATGGAACAGAGGGAACATGAGCGTGTGATTCATTAGAGTTAACTTCCTTGTTCTCTTCCCCATTTGCGCCAACTTGAATATCATCATTCAGATTTATGTCGCCTCTATTGCGCACCACGTTCGATCATTCTTTCGTCATTAGGTACATTCTAGGCAACCGCGATTTGATTGTGGATCTTGGAAATCTCGATTTGGTTATGGATCTGAGAGATTTCGTCAGCCATCTCGGATTTTTACTCGCCGAACAACGAATTTGCTTCAAGATTGTCAGAAATTTAATATATGAAAATTGAGATAAGAAAATCCAGATCGAATCGAATAATAGATTTGATATAAGATAGGGTTTTTGAATATTTATTAGAAAAGAAAAGGAAGAGATTTATTAGACCCCACATCTCTGACCACCACCACAATATTATCATCACGTTGCAAGTTAGTTGCAACAAATTAATTTGACTAATTCTAGTCAAATTTTACAAAATTAAAATTATTTTAAAATTTTATCTTATTTTATTAGGCTTGGCCCACGAACCCTTACAGCCTAACGCCAAATCTTTGACAATTAATATTATCCAAGACCAAGTAAACCTTAGCCCAATCTAATTTTATCTTTAATGATAAGTGGTGTTTGATTTATATAAAGAATGGTGAAACCTTTAAATTCCAACGTAGGACAAACCCTTCATCTTCTTATTTCACCTCTCAAATACCTAACAATCAGTACTCAACATAAATGACATTGACAACAGTCGGTTAACCTTAAAGAGCTTGTCGGCCAACGCTCCTACCTTAATGGAGCGGCCAACAAAAATTGGGATACACTTGCATGAAATTCCTTTTCCAAAGTGGTTTTCTGGATCAAGATTTTGTGTTTTTTGTAACCTTAATCGCAAAAGTTGGTAAACTCCAAATTAAACCCCACGTACCTTATTTGAAGCTCTAATTAGACCATTTCTGTATCCATTCCGGTAGAAGGGTCGTAGTGTACGAGGTGGAACCACGCTGGCGATGCAGGTGGATGGATGTGCGTAGAGTACCATGAACAGGAAGAAGCGAGAAAAGGAAAAAAGGATGGTAGAAAAAAAGAAAAGAATAGGGGGAGGAAGAAGAACGTTGAAGACAATTTTTATATCATCGGCCATTTCTATGTCAGATCGGGCATCTGACAATTTTGTTGTCAAATCGAACATCGGAAATTCTGTCAAATCAAACATTAGACAATTTTTTCATATCGGGCATCAACCAATCTTATGCAATGAGATCGGTAGATCACCCATCGGCCAATTCTATGCAATCACAATGAGCATATGTACATGACTTCATTGTAGCTAAGGAAAATATTCTTTAAAAAAATTTGGGTTAATGTGCGAGAAATCCACCAAATCTTTTTTTTTAGAAAATATTTTTTTAAATTTTAATTTTTTTTAGTCTTTTTTTTTTAGTTTTTAAGATTGTGTATTATAAAAAATATTATTTATAAGAATAAACTGATTTTTAGTCTATATCTAGATTTTTTTATTATTTTAGTTTTGTAACTGGAGTCTATCGAAAATTAGTATCGTAAGTGAAAAATTTTCACAATTTTAATCTTTCGACGGAGATGTCCACGTGACACCATGTGACACCCATTTTACTATACTCTTATTTCTTATAAATATTTTTTTAAAATTAAAACAAATACTCTATCCGTCTTATATAAAGAGTAATATTTGTTTTTTCACGTAAATTTTTTAATATTAGTATTATATTGAATTATAGTAAAAGATATGAAAATACCCTTATTAGTATTATGTAATATAAAAGTAATAACATTTGTGTAATATATTGAAAGTTGAAAGAATATTTATTATATTAAACAAGTAGTATAATTACTAAATTAGAAAATTGTACCTTAATTTTGAAACGGTCTAAAATAAAAAATGAAAAATGAAACTCTTTTCATGAGACGAAGAAAGCATAACTGTTATCAATAATTAATAGGGTTAAGTTAGAAAATAAGTTAGAGATATACTCCATCCGTCCTACATAAATTGTCCCTATAATCTATTTTCGTCCGTCCCACATAATTTGTCATTTCTCTTTTTGGAAAACTAATTATACACTTTAATCATATTTTAAAATTTAAAATTTAAAATTTTTTTAATCTTAATTTATAATTATTTTTACTAAATAATAATTATTTTTATTAATATATTTCTTAATTACTTAATAATTATACTTTACTTAAATTTTCCCGTCTATAGTAATACACTCATATTATATGAGACGGAGGGAGTAATACACTCGTATTATATGGGACGAAGGGAGTAGTAGTGATGGACTGGTCCCTTGCTTCGCTGGCCTAAGAAGGAGCTGTTGGACTTTTTGGATCAATTAAAAAATTTATAAACAGTTAGAATGTATTTGTTTGTGAGATATTTTGAATAAATATTTTTTTATAAAAAAATAAAATTTTATATTAGAAAAATATAAAAATAAAAAAAATATATGAAATATATTAATATTTTTTAAAAAATTATATTTATTTATTTTATTTATTATTTTTTTATAAAAAGAACACACAGTTAAATCTTATAAAGTTACATAAAAAAAAAATATTCAAAAAAATTAAATAAATTCCTAATTAGCAGATGGAAAGAGTTGTACGGTAACAGTAAAGCCCTCGATTCTCGAAGGTTCCAGCCACTTCACATTCTCACGCTCACACAGTTTATCCTCTTCCCTTCCCTTCCTCTCGCCTTTCTTCAATGGCCACTACAGTGTTGAAGACGCCGCCCTCCTTCACTTCTCCGGCGACATGCGCCGCTTCACCGGTCAGATTCCACAACTTTCCCCGCGTTTCCTTTGCACCCAGTAAATTATCGCTGATACGGTGTCGGATTCGCCGAGGGAATCATAACAGGAGCAGTGTTAGCTTTAGCGGTCGCTCGTTTCATAAATTATTGACCTTCGCTGCTGATGGAGAAGCTGCGGGGACTCAAACAGATACTCAAGAGAAAGACCCGGCGCAAGAATCAGAATCCGAGACTGCATTTGAGGTAATTTTGTTATTGCAGTTTGCATTCTATTATTGGCACCATGTTGTGATCAACTACTTGTCTATGTCTTTCGGATAACTAGTTAATTTGAGGAATTTCGTTTTTCATTTTTCATTTTTCAAATATTATTTATGTAATCAGGTAGGTGAATAGCGAATTGAGTGTGAATTCTGGATTGATGCTTAAATCATAGAAGTTTAAATTCTAGGGTTTTAAAAATTGGTCCATTTCGAATCGATTTTTAATCATGTGGTGTGAGGAACACGATTGTACAGCTGCACAAAGAATCCCTGGTGAAGAACCATGAATTTTATTAGGGTTTAGGGCTTGCTTGATTTCGACTTTTGTTTTTAACTTTATATATCTTCAAGAAGTTGCATAACGAATCCATAATTGCTCTTAAATTTATATGCTTCGAAGTTTAATTTATTTGGGTTGTTATATGTGGTCATGTTTGGATGAAAAAACATTTCTTGTTGATTGGATACTCAAAGCAGCTGCTTCATTGTTACCACTACCTTTACCCCACGGATTTGTTATTTATTTATTTATATATTTTTTTTTCTAGTTCATTTTTGCTTGTGATTAACCAAGGTGAAAAGAGCTTGATCATCAGGAATTCAATATACTATAGTATAGTAGAATTATGTGTCTCCATAAATATGGAAAATAATAGAATCTAGAGTTTTCAATAAATATTCACTATTTCAATATTATAGAACATATTGATTTCTACAGCGATATAGAAATTTGATTTTATCCCAATTGAAATTTCTACTAATTCACTAGTCAATCTTAACTAATTTTATGTTTTGGATTTACATGACATTGGAAATCATTTTTGTTCGAAATGACATATCGTCTTGGATTTGAATGGATCTGCCATAAAATTTGATACTCTTTTCCGAAAAAGAAGACACTTTTGAGTTTTTGATGTGCTTTGCTTCCACTATAATCAATCATTTTTTGGCAAGTAGTGTCTGCTCTTACTTTTGGAAGTGCCAATATTGAGAATAGGGTTTTCCTTCAGAAAATAAAATAATGCCTGTTATAAAGAGCCGGCTCTTTGGTTAAACTTTATGGTCATGCATTGATTAACTTGTTAGCTAAAAATGAAATAATAGATTAAAAATAAAAACTTTATATTTTTCGTGCCAGCCTTTTTGTGTTATTATTTTCTATAATTACTTAAGTGAACCTTTTTGTAAGTGCATCCATTTAAGATTATGTACAAAACACAGAAAGGCTTCCTCGAACTGTTACAATTCATCTGTTCATGTTGGAAATCGTTGTGCTCATTTGATGTCTGTCTAAAATTAAGAAGCATTTACCAAGTATTTGTTATGATGGACAGGGGAAATCTGATGATGAAGATTACGTTGATGCATCTAGTGAGAGTGATGAGTCTGAAGAACCTACTTCTGTGATCAAACCATTTTTAGTTTTATACAAAGAGGCTTTAGCTAACAATGATAAGTCAAAAATTGCTGAAATAGAATCAGTTTTTAAATCCATTGAAGATGAGAAAAATGAGCTTGAGAGAAAAGTGGTTGCTTTATCTGAAGAATTGTCTTATGAGAAGGATCGGGTCCTTAGAATCAGTGCTGACTTTGATAATTTTCGGAAGAGAACAGAGAGAGACAGGCTCTCGCTGGTGACAAATGCACGAGGAGAAGTTGTCGAAAGTCTGTTACCTGTTTTGGATAATTTCGAACGAGCTAGAACTCAGATCAAAGTGGAAACTGAAGGAGAGGAGAAGGTCAACAATAGTTATCAGAGCATATACAAACAATTTGGGGAGATTCTGACTTCCCTTGGCGTTGTTCCTGTGGAGCCCGTTGGGAAACCATTTGATCCAATGGTAAATCTCTGCTATTTGTAATTAATTTTGTGTTTGTTTGGAAGGTTGGATTTTGAACAGTAAAATTAATTTTAATATAATATAAAAAAAATTAAAAAATAGGTGTTTAGTTTTAATAATTTTGAGGGAGAATTTTTAAGGTATAATGGAAATCCCCCAAACAAACATCTTAATACACTTATGGTGTGTTTGTTTGGGAGTTTGGATTTTGAATTGAGATTTGAATAGTAAAATTTTTGAATTGGAATAGTTGTATGATGTAATATAAATAGGTGTTGATGTGATGTTTTGAATGTAAAATTGATTTTTAGTATAATATAAAAAATAAAAAATAGGTGTTTGATTTGATATTTTTTGAGGAAAAAAATTAGATGAATAGTAGAAATTTGGGGAAATCCCCCAAAAGAACATACCCTTAGGGTGTGTTTGTTTGAGGGATTGGATTTTGAGTTGTATTTGAATAGTAAAAATTTTGAATTGTAATAGTTGTATGACTTGATATAAATAGGTGTTGATGTAATATTTTGAATGTAAAATTAAATTTTAGTATAATATAAAAAATGAAAAATGAGTGTTTGATTTGATGTTTTTCAGGAAAAAAAATTGGATGAATAGTAGAATTTTGGGTAAATTTTTTAAACGAACAGTGTGTTTGTTTGGAAATTTTGATTTTGGTTTGAGATTTAAATAGTAAAAAATTTGAATTTGAATAGTTGTAGGACGTGATATAAATAGACATTGATGTGATATTTTGAATGTAAAATTGATTTTTAGTGTAATATAAAAAATAAAAAATAAATATTTGATTTGATATTTTTGGAAGGAAAAAAAATAGATGAATAATAGAAATTTGATAAAATTAGATAAAAGAACACAATCTTAGATAATGTGTGTTTCAGTGGATTTTTGAATATGTAGAATATATATATATATATATATAATATAATTAATTCATTGACCTTCTGTGTTTCCCACCATTGCTAAGCTCAGATTCTTTCTTTGGGCATTGACCTTTGCTTGTTCATTAGCCTCCATATTCTTGTCCGAAAATTCTGTTTCTATTTCATCTGTATGGGCCTTGATTCTTTGTCAGATTAATGAATTATACCATAAATATAATTAGTATAAAAGGTAAATAAGCCCATAGTAATTATAGGGCCTTTTTACTTGTAAGATTTTGGTTTTGAAATTTGGTTTTGAATAGTAAAATTTTGAATTGAAATAGTTGTTTGATGTGATCTAAATATGTATTAATGTGATTTATTAAATGTAATATTAAATTTTAATGTACTATAATAAAATAAAAGTAGATGTTTGAATTTGATGTTTTTGAGGAGAAAGAAATTGGAATAGTAAAACTAGGTGTAAAATCTTACAAGTAAACACATCCCGATGTGATTTGGATATAAACTTGATAGTTTAAGGTAATATTTTGAAAAGAGTGTTTCTAAGGTAACTATTGAGCACATACTTGTTGGAGTTTTATATCTATATTAGGAAGAGAAAATGATTGATTTGTACTTTCTTTTTAGTCTGGTTTGGGTTTTATATTTAAGTAATGATGTGATATTTTGTGAAATGAAAAATATATATTTCTTTCGGGTAAAATATAGTCCAAATAATAAAAAACTGTGTAGAAACACAAAAGAAACACACTGTTTAGTTTCACATGACCAATAATGCTGGATTAAGTTGATACCATTTCATCAGCAAATCAAGCTTGCAAAGCATGCACATCTTATATCTGAAGTTCTGTTTTTACTCTCCTCTAAACAGCTCTTCTTTTTTCAGTGATCGTGCAATGTTTGGATTTTTCTTTTGCTCTTTGCTCGACTTGTTATAGAATGTTTGCAACCAAACTGCAGTTCTCATTTGCTTTCATTTTCTGATAATTAGACTTCTCACACATCATCTTTCTCTTTTCAATAGTTGCATGAAGCTATAATGCGCGAAGAATCCACAGAATACAAAGATGGCATTATCATTGAAGAATTCCGAAAGGGTTTCCAACTTGGGGAGAGACTCTTGCGACCATCGATGGTCAAGGTGTCTTCTGGTCCGGGGCCCGCTGATTCTGAACCCGAGGACACATCAAATGAACAGAAGGATGCTGATGAAACTGCACCCGATGAGGAATAATTGTGTCAGGTACAAGACAAAAATTTTGTATTTCAAAAGCGCGATCATTTGTAACTTGTTCGGTAGAAAATGTTTGTTTTAGTTCGTTCTTTGCTCGGTGGATTAAATTTAAATTGTTCCATACATGCTTCTGGTACAAGATGAATTTGACAATAGCACGCATGTTTCTTTTTCTTTTCTTTCTCTTTTTATTGCGCAACGAGGAAATATGCTCTCACTGCAACATGAAAATGTTCGAAATTTGTTGCCTGAATTTTTTGTGGTAATCTATTACTTTTAATCACTTGTATCCGCAGCATGTTGTCTTCTTTCTCTCTCATTTGTAATCTTGAGTGTGCAAATTTGGATACACAAATCTGTACAAGGTGTTTTTGGGTAAAATCCTTATCATATGTTAGAAACTAAGAAGTGTTAAATGAGTCGAGCAAGCTCGAGGATCTGTTGTCCAAGCTCGATTCGAACATATTATTGTTATAGGTTTTACTCGGTCTCATTTAGATTCGAGCTGGAATAGCGACAAGTAGAACTGTTAACGAACCGAATCGAATAAACTTTTTAAGCGGTTGTGTTCTTTTGTTAATATTTGTGAACAAAGCTTATGTTCATTAGTTATTGCTCGAGTTTTGTTCGTATTGCTCGAGTTTTGTTCGCGAAGAAATTTTATTGTTTGAGTTTCTGACTGTGTACGCTCCGATAAGCTCATTTCAGCTTAGAAAATTTAGAATTTTATTTTCTAAACGATTGCAAATAAGGCTCGAGTTCGTTCATTAACATAATCTGTTTGTTCATGTTGTTTGACTAGTTTGTTTATGTTCGCGAACGAGTTTAAATCGAGCTGAATTTAGTTTAGTGAAGTTTACGAATGATTTGATTCGTTTAATGATTCTACTCACGATCAAATTTTATATATATTAGTATATAAATTAAGTATATCTAAATTTATTTATAATTTATTATAATAAAATATTTAAGTTTTATTAATAAATACAAGATTTGATATCATCCAATTTATTTTTATTTTCTTCTTTGGTTATAATTTAAATTTATTTTTATTTTTTAAGTAAAAAATAATATTTTTTTTACTTATTATTTATCTTTTAAAAGTAAAAGTTTTTATTTTTATCTATTTTTTTTTTAGAATTTGTATCCGATCAAATAAGCATAGAATTGAACTACAGAAGAAGTGTATGTTATGTTAGCTTGAGTTTATTTTTTGAGATACTTCTTCTGTTCAAGAGTAAGTTTCTCATTAGATTTTTGCACGAAAATTAAAGTAAATTAGTATTTTATAAATATATATAGTGTAATAAAATAATATAAGATGAGAAGTTTAATATAGGTATTACTTTATGTACTCTCTTGGTCCCAACTATTCTGTAATTATTTTTGTCTCTTCAAAATATTATGCAATATTTCTAAAATAAAAAATAATTAAATAAATTTAATCTCTATTCAATATTATATCTAATCATTATTCAAATAAATACACTTCTTTTTTCTTATCATATTACTTAATTATCAAATTATTTTATTTAATATAATTCACCTAATATTGAAAAAAAAAAATAATGTTGCACTATGTTTGGAACGGAGGAAATATTATATAACTACATGATAAAATATTAGATGTTTATTTTAATTGATTATTATATAAGATTATTATTTTTTTTATAAAATATATTTAGTTATATGGTACTCTATTAAGTTATTAATGAATAGCACAGGGTGATGGATTAACAATATTTAATTATGTTATTATTATGTTGGATTTAATTTATTTGGGATTATAATAATAGATAGTACATGTGATTCAATTCAATAAAATAATATTATTTATTAAACATAACTATTTTTAATATATAAAATATATTATTACTAGCAAGTTCGATTGAGTTATTTGTGAATCGATCAAACAAATCAAATTAAAATATTAATGAGTAGATCCAACTTGGCTCATGAAGTATTCTATTGGTTCAATAGCTTTAGTTCAAATTAATTATTTTTAAAAATTTTATGATCATAAGCTGAAAAGAGTAAAATTATTTTATTATTTTAATATTTTAATTTTTCTTTTCTTTTTTTACATGATAGTTTGAAGATAAAAATATTTACCCATTCCATTCATTAAATATATATTTTTTGTTTCATAGAAAATTAGTATATTTTAATTTACAATAAAAAATTCTTACATATACTTTTAAACATTACTCTTATTTAGGATTTTTTTTGTGTTGATTTAAGTTTTATTTAAATTGTATTTTGACATAATATTATGTGAAAGAGATAATATATTTTTTCATTGAAAATAGTAAAAGATAAATACAATTAATTTTGATTTAAAATTACAAAAAATAAAACATAATAAACACATCACAATTACTTACACATTTCATTTTATTTTATTTTTTTCTCATGTCATTAGCTCATACTTTTAAGTACATGTTTTTATTTATTTTATTAAGATATTAAATTTTTATGAAAACATTATTTTTAATACAAAATTGCACAAGGCATAATTTCACCAAGCATATGATAAAATTGATTTCAATCGTAATAAGTATATCAATACAACAATCTTATCCCTCCGTCCCATGTAATATGGGTGTATTACCGTAGACACGGAAATTTAGGTAAAGTATAATTAGTAAGTAATTAAGAAGTGTATTAGTAAAAATAATTATAGATTAAGATTAAGATAAGGAAATAGTTTAATTAAAATTAAGAAAATTATAAAATTTAAAATTTAAAATGCGATTAAAGTCCATAATTATATTTCCAAAAATAGAAAAGACAAGTTATGTGGGACGAACGAAAATAAAAAATAGGGACACGAGATAGTTGACCCTTTAAGGAAATGATGTTTAATTAGTTAATAATATTGAATCATGATATTATCTTTGTTATTTTATACTCTCTCCTTAGTCTTAATTGGGTTGGACACGAAATTTAAGGAATATTTGTATTATATTGGTAGTGGGTAAAAAGTACAGATAAAAGACTTTTTTGCCCTTGTGTGTATTAGTGTAAAAAGTAATGGCAATTGTGTAATAAAAATGAAAAAATAGGGGTAGTTTTATGATGATATGGTTATTTATGAAAATAACACTGTTGTTTTGGAACGAACAAAAATGGTAAACAAGACTATTGTATTAGAACGGATGGAGTATATAATGAATAATATTGATAGGTATAAAATAAATTTAATATATATTATCAAAAAATTAGATTATGTACTTAAATATTTTAAAAATTATATTGTAATAAAAAATATATGCAATATGGATATTATTTTGTAGAAATAAGATTTTTTATAATACGAGTAAATTAAAGAAATACGTTTTTTTATTTGTTTTTTTAAGAGAAAAATAAAAATAAAAAGATTTTGAGTAGGTCATACTTATATGTTATATAGTTAATTAAATTTTATTTATTTATTAAATATATTTTGATTTATAAATTTTTTATCGAAAATAGACTCAATTGTTACGAGAAGATAAAAATAAAAAATATATCAATTATTATAAGTCGGAATGAATTTTGTTTTTTATATATTATAATATTTCAAATAAAAATATATATTTTGAAAAAGGGGATAGTTATTGTCCCTAAAAAGAGAACTTTCTTGCCGCACTTTGTCGCAATCATTCATAGAAGTGTGTGGCCTTTTACATAAAATACTAATAATAATAATGAAAAATAAAAATGATTGTAAAAGTAATACTGCCTCCGTCTCAGATGTCGTATCTAATTAAAAATGTATTAGTGAAAATAATTATCCTATAATATAAATAATTATAAATTAAAATTAAGATAATTAATTAGTTTAATTAAAATTAAAAAAATAAAATTTAAAAATTTAAAATGAGATTAAAGTGTGTAATCATTTTCCAAAAAAAAGAAAGTGACATGGTATGTGTGACGGACAGAAGCGGCAACGTGGATATGGTACCTGGAACAGTGGGAGTAATAATATAATAATGAAAAATAAAAATGAATGATTGTGTCGATTGTGACATGCGTGTTTCTTTAGAAATATTTTATTATTTTATATTTATTATCAGAAATATTTTATTGTCAATTATTGAGATGAATCACGTTAAATCGGGAGATTAAGAGAATATAGAAAAATTACTATCAATATTCCCTTCGTCAATTTTAAAGTTTACTTTTCATGTTAATTTTTAAATATATATTATTATATGGTGTGTTTCTTTAGGGAGGTTTTGGGAAATTTGGATTTGAGTTCGATTTTTATTTTAATTTTGGGATGAATTTGAATTTTATTATTTCTTTTGTGTTTGAGTTTTATTGGGATTTGGAGAGTTTTTATGTGTATGAATAATGAATAAAATAATATAAATATATATTAAATTTAATTGATAAAATTTATATTGTATGATTTGGTGGAGAATTTATATTATGCACTGCAACCGTTTGCAGGTGCCTCGGTTTGGCGCCCAAATTACTATGCACAGTAATTGCACAGTGATTTTTGCCCAAACCGAGCTTGGAGAAACATACCTTGTATTTCTTTTGTGCCAATTCAAATATTTTTTTTATTATTTCTGTATGTTCCTCTTTAAAGTATTTATTTTTTATTTAGAAAAAATAATTATATATTAATACCAAAATACTTTTAATTTTTTATTTAAATTACAAAATTTTTTACACATTTCTATTAACTAATAACATATTGTTATTCATTTATCTATTACAAAACTTCAAATGACTCATTTGATTAAGGATGGATGGAACATTAAATTATAGTACAAATAATAAAAAATATTTCTATTAATATATTATAATACAAATGTAAAAATATTTTTTAATATTAAACATACTTAGCATATATAAATTAATTTAATTAAATTCATAATTTATTACACATAAAACCCATTCAAAATCCCTTTTATTTCTATTTATCTCCACAATAAACAAATTTTTTTATCTCCATTTCAAACACCCCATTTCTTATCAAACTAGTTTAAGTTAATTATAAATAAATATATATTTCTTTTATTTATATTATATGAAATTTTATTATCCACACAATAATATTTATATTATATACTTTTTATGTCCCTTAATAATCTATCAATTTTGTCATTTTGATTCGTCCTATAACAAAGAATCCATTTTCTTTTTTAGTAACTATATTATTTTCATAATATTACAAATACTCTTCTAATTTACAATATATTACACAAATGTCATTACTTTTATATCATACAATCCTAATAATGATAGTTTGCGGTGTGTTTCTTTAGGGAAGTTTGGGAAAATTTGAGT